GCAAATAACTTTTTCCAAAATTGAATTTTACACAATTTGTGAATCAAAACGTTAAAATAATAGGTAGAAGATTGTATTCACATCTTTTTGCAAATTTTTGCATATCTTTTTTACATCTTTTTGCAAATTTTAAAACAACTGCGATAGGGGCCTCAGAGCCACTTTGAACGTTAATTTGACTAATACAGATTTCCAGTGACACATACTGAGTGTCCACTAACAAGCTTTATACTGTTTGTATTTTTAGGGCTGTATACCAATCAAATGGACTGCACCCGAGATTCTGTCAGGAAATGTTGCCGAGCTCTCACCCCAAAGTGATGTGTCTGTACAGCATAAATTCTTCTTGTTGTGCCTCAGTTAAGGCTCTGTTACACGAGGCCATTTTTCTTGCAATTTGTCTCGTAATTTTGTCACACCGTTGCGAAACAAGTAGTAGGAAACGTTAGCTGAAATGAACAACATGGCGGAAACTGGAACTTGATTCTACTCTGTGCAACGGTCACTGCAACAAACACTTGCGTCGGAGAAAACTTATCTAACAGTGTTAAAGGGCCTGTGATCTCATTATTTTCATCAAAACGAAAAGGTCAAACATTAGCAACTACTTCCAAAAATTTTGCTTGTCATTGCTGCAACACATTCTGGCTGGATTTTCGAGGATTTGGTAGACATAGTAGATGAGATAATCAACTACAATACAAGCTAATTATTTTTCAGTTGTAAATGATTCATGGCCAAATTTCAAATTGGTCGACCAGGCATTTCAATACACTGTATGTGGTTTGCCATGAACGCAATTAATCTAGAAAGAGTAGGAGAGAAAAGCCATAACTTCGCTATAATTTTGTATTGTGTTCTTTGATCTGTAGAATTCTAGTATACACTCCCACCAGGCCCGGGCTGTTCGGAAGGTGGATAACGCTATCCACTAGATAAATCTCTATTCAACGAATAGTGTGATTTGTTTTGTTGGCACTTCTCCACTGGATAGCGATTTATCCGGTGGATAGCGTTATCTGTCTTTCAAACAACTGGGGCCAGATTTTTGAATCACTAATTTTCATTATATTGTATACCTTTTGTTTCTTGTAAATAGTATACTTATACACCCAGCTCTGATCTATATTACTAATCTACAGGTGGTCTTATGGAATTGTCTTGTATGAGATATTCACTATCGGTAAGCAACATTTGTTGAGTAACGACATCAATACAAAATAACAAAAGTCAAAGCAGAATAGAACCAAAATGTCAAACGACTGACTAGCAGATCACAGCACACTTACATTGAGGGATAGTGTGATCTAATACGAGATAGTATTTTTGTTTAAACCTTATAACTAAGTTAAAACACACCTGTTTTCCTTAACAGGAGGAATTCCATACCCAGGATGGTCAGAAGGCAGAGTGGTTCAAGCAGTCCTGGATGGATATCAAATGCCAAAGCCTGACCACATTGACGACCAGTTGTAAGTATATTTACCATTATTTACGTTTTTACCTTGAGTTATTTTAATTGTAAGCGTGTTGCGAATGTTAAATTCACCAATGAGAACTTTTCTAATATTATTGTGATATCTGGGAATCTGATTGGTTCTGTTTGCGCTGACTATTTGCCGATATACCGCGATCTACANGTCTAATTGTCATATTCCTTTTGTGTTGCTACAAAAAAGGTGATATTATTCGCCAACCAACAAAGGTTCAGGCTATATCTGCCATATTAAAGCGGGGCTGTTGTAAAATCCAGCTTCAAAAATCCATTTAAAAAACCAAAAAAAGCCATGATAGTTTTTTTTTTTTTTCTGTCAAAAGCAGTCGGAACGGGAAATTCAGAATCATGTAAGCTAAATTGTAGTACTGAGTAATTTGGTATAGGTTCTGCATCTGTTTTTTTCTCTGGGCGTCGTTAATTTTTCATTATCGACCGGCTACGGCGAAAGAAAAAACAAAACAACTACTGCAGCCTAATAAATTGGGCCTTCAGCTCACGAACAAAGTTGAACTGAGCCACTAGCCCAGTCTAAACGAGACAAAACAATTGTCTCACGATTTTATGAGCGACGACTTTGTGACCGAATGAAACAAAGCTCACAATAAAAGGCACGTGTGACATGGAGGACTATAAAAGAATATTTTCGACGACCATGGAACTTTGTCTTGGAGACACAAGAGCGACTCCAGACAAATCTCCAGTCGCACATTGTTACAGATCGATAGAATATCAATAGAAGATTCAACATCGCCAGAAAACAGGTTTTATTATTGATAAGCACGGCAACCACTTGAAGAGATTGAATAGGTATAGATATAAAAAAGGTATTGCGTTCAGGGTATTCATTAATGGAAATGCCTGGCTCTCAAAGGAGCTATGACGAGGTATAATACAATGCAATACCCGTTGTGGTGGGTAAACATTTTAACTGCTGTTAAAAACAAATTCTACCATTCGTAGCGGTTTGAAAGCCTTAGAGAGTGGATTTTACCACGTTTTTTCGTCAGGAAAAAAGAAAATGAAGATCGCGTGATGAATGTAAGGACGTCTGTAACTGCTATTAAATACACAACATAAAATAAATGCGATGCATACGTATCTTTGTTCAAGACCGGCTAGTAAGGACAATCCGCGACAATGGTCCGAATATTATGAAACTTCGCGTTTTCGTTACTCCACTGTTCTGCCTTTGAAAGTTGACAAAATTTAAAATGCATTTAAAAGAACCTTGTCATAATACTGAAATGTGATATTTTAATCCTTTTCGAATCGAAATATGTTTTAAGAATTTTATTTGCCAGGAGCTGTTTCGTGATTTTTGAGACTTTAAGAAGTGATTCGAATGATAAGAGAAAACATAATTTAGGTATTTGCTACACGAAAAACCAGATCATGTCGTTTGTAATCTGAACGCAAGCCTGGTGTTTGTAATTTTCCTTAATATATTTATAGCTCTGCATGCAAAAGAAATTACATCCGGTTTTTTTCACGGGACAAAAATTTGATAAAATCTTCCTTACCTAGCGACTATTTGCTCAATATCCAAATTGCGCGCTAATTAATCATGCGAAGACTGGGCCTTTTGAATTAAAAGAAAATTACCATTTGCGTGCGTTTCCTGGTACTAAAACAAACCTCACGAATTAAAATGATTATATTACTAATCATTCGCTGATTAAAATGACTAAATTGATCTTTTGGTTTTACAAAATGAATTTGTCGACATTAGTGGATGAGAAAATGAGCCAGTTGCCGCTTATATGGAAGTTTTAACAATTCAAATGAATGCCATTCGATTAATCGAGGTACTTAATACCTGCCGCATTGAATTACGGAGAACAAAAAGCTTTGATCTACTCACGGACCTTGCTACACTTCTCCAAATCCATTAAAAGACACACTTCCTACAACGACGAAAAGTTGTTACTGGCTAAAAAAAATTACCAAAACTATAACCCCTTCCACCGCGCAGTGAAGCCATCTTCAGTGAAATAAAATGGTGAACTGCGAGAAAATACATAAACGACTTTTGATTTTTCTTTTAAACGACACATTGGTTTAGTAAAAGCTCAAAGACAAAAGAAATTCGAGTTCTTTTGTGGTCAAGCACTGGGCTTTGTCTTCTTTTATGAAAAAGAAACACAGATACGTTCTTCAATGAGGCTCTTGTTTACAAAGTATGCCAATAAGTTTGGATGATCGTATGCTGTCGAAAGTTACATGCCAAGTTTTTTTTAAATTCATTTATAATTATTTCTTCGTCATCCGCTACTCGTGCGAACTGTTTATCAAAATTCGAACGTCCGTGGAACACTCGCGAGACGGACGGGTTGAAAATATGAAAAGAATTTGATAGCAGAATGGAGAAAATCTTAGTCAACAGATAAATCGAGTTACGCATACGTTTCCCAAATCCTTAGATTCTCTCTGTTGTTGCTGAATAAGAGACTGTCAGCAACCAGGAAATTGGTGTGAAATGGGACAATCGAAAGCGTAAACACAAGCTTTGAAAAGTACTGCTAAGGCTCGATCTCAAACTCGCAGCTACTCTAAGGCCCCGTGCACCCTACGCCGAAGAAATTTGGTCTTCAGACCGGAAGAATTTGAAAACGCCGGCTTTTCGTTTTTCTTTGGAAGGAACGCGTTTTGAAAACGGAACTTTTCGAAGACGATGGCGTCACGATAATCACGTGATTTCCTGACCGAGTTTTCCTCAAACACAAATCCAAAATGACCGGTGATTGTTGCGTTTCTAAATTCCTCTGGCGTAGAAAACATTTGATGCTTTTTCAGAGAGAAAACTCCGTTTTCAAATTTCTCCCTCGTTGAGTGGATGGGACCAAATTTGAAAGTTAATCACATTAACAGCCCGGGAAACATTTGAATCACATGTTCACGACAATTCTGTGGCAATATCGCTTCCAATTGCCAATATAACTTTGTACAAGTTTCTGGAAGTTCCGCAAAGGTAAATACCAAAAAAAAAAAAAATTGTTATAATTCCTGTCACATTCAGATCTTGTTTAGTACTTTCTTTTTCCACGTTACTAAAGTGGAGTTCGTAACGTTCACCTTCGACAGGACATACTATAAGAACGATCCGATACCTTGTTAGTAAAGGAAACCTTAAAATAATGTTTGCAACGGCAGGCGAACACCAAACAGATATCGACTGGAAAAAAAAGGAAACAAAAAGGTACTGGTAAAGGTATGTTCGAATCTAGAAGCCCACCACGCGAGGGTTATCTCCAGCTTCCGCTGCATGAAGCAACCAGGAGTATCTCTACTCCCCCTGGAAGGGATGCTAGTCCATTGCAGAGCTACCCACAGCCTTAATTTTGCTGGTACCCATGTTTTGCACCTAGGTGGGAGAGGCACTGCAGGAGTAAAGGGCCTGGATCAAATACACTACAGAATGTTGTAGTCAGGGCTCGATCTCCGACCACTCCATTTGGAGTCCAGCAGAGGAACCCACTTTCGCTGAGTGGAAATATCACTTTGTTACTACTCGAACACTGTAAGGGTAATCAAGTTTCTTCAATCAATCTTCTCCGCCTCTCCCTGGATTGCAGTATACCACCGAATTCTTCTATAGATTTGGTTTAAATTAGTGAAGGGCCCCAGTTCCAAAAATTAAGGAAAGGGTTATAGGCTTCCTGTAATTGTGTTTCTTTTTTTCCAATGGGCAATAACTAAATGGCGGTACTTTTTGACAAGTATAGCACATTTAAGATGTAAAATATTCTCTTTTTGTAGATAATCCATCGTGACCTGGCAGCTCGTAATGTTCTTCTTGATGACAACTATGTTTGCAAAGTTACCGACTTTGGACTGGCTTATCAAGATTTCAAGTATGGACATGGAAATGCCAAAAAGGTATCTTAATTTATAATTTTGCACAGCCATAGCACTATTAACACATAATTGCTGGCCCCGAGGGAAACATTTAAGATGGCTCACAACTGTTTCCAGCGTTTTTTGGTATGTCTTTGTTGAATCAATACTACCACTCTTTTGGTCGATGCTATAACAGTGACATCAACGAAGGTTTCAATCATGGTTAAACAAGTTCCTGACGCAAAAGGTTACCATAGCAATGGTATAGGCCGTTCAAAAGGGTGTTAACTTCAGCTTCAAGTGCTCACAATTAAAAAAGCAAGTCAGTCCCATGGCCTTCAATTTATTATTATTATTATTATTATTATTATTATTATTATTATTATTATTCGATTGTGATTAACATGTTAAAATATATCTTTTTGCAAATTTTAAACAACTGTGATAGGGGCTTCAGAGCCACTTTGAACGTTAATTTGGCAAAGCGGTCAGAAATTACTGTGTTTGTATGGGAATCCAAGGGCAAATAACTTTTTCCAAAATTGAATTTTACACAATTTGTGAATCAAAACGTTAAAATACTAGGTAGAAGATTGTATTCACATTTTTTTGCAAATTTTTGCACATCTTTTTTACATCTTTTTGTAAATTTTAAAACAACTGCGATAGGGGCCTCAGAGCCACTTTGAACGTTAATTTGGCAAAGCGGTCAGAAATTACAGTGTTTTTATGAGAATCCAAGAGCAAATAACTTTTTCCAAAATTGAATTTTACACAATTTGTGAATCAAAACGTTAAAATAATAGGTAGAAGATTGTATTCACATCTTTTTGCAAATTTTTGCATATCTTTTTTACATCTTTTTGCAAATTTTAAAACAACTGCGATAGGGGCCTCAGAGCCACTTTGAACGTTAATTTGACTAATACAGATTTCCAGTGACACATACTGAGTGTCCACTAACAAGCTTTATACTGTTTGTATTTTTAGGGCTGTATACCAATCAAATGGACTGCACCCGAGATTCTGTCAGGAAATGTTGCCGAGCTCTCACCCCAAAGTGATGTGTCTGTACAGCATAAATTCTTCTTGTTGTGCCTCAGTTAAGGCTCTGTTACACGAGGCCATTTTTCTTGCAATTTGTCTCGTAATTTTGTCACACCGTTGCGAAACAAGTAGTAGGAAACGTTAGCTGAAATGAACAACATGGCGGAAACTGGAACTTGATTCTACTCTGTGCAACGGTCACTGCAACAAACACTTGCGTCGGAGAAAACTTATCTAACAGTGTTAAAGGGCCTGTGATCTCATTATTTTCATCAAAACGAAAAGGTCAAACATTAGCAACTACTTCCAAAAATTTTGCTTGTCATTGCTGCAACACATTCTGGCTGGATTTTCGAGGATTTGGTAGACATAGTAGATGAGATAATCAACTACAATACAAGCTAATTATTTTTCAGTTGTAAATGATTCATGGCCAAATTTCAAATTGGTCGACCAGGCATTTCAATACACTGTATGTGGTTTGCCATGAACGCAATTAATCTAGAAAGAGTAGGAGAGAAAAGCCATAACTTCGCTATAATTTTGTATTGTGTTCTTTGATCTGTAGAATTCTAGTATACACTCCCACCAGGCCCGGGCTGTTCGGAAGGTGGATAACGCTATCCACTAGATAAATCTCTATTCAACGAATAGTGTGATTTGTTTTGTTGGCACTTCTCCACTGGATAGCGATTTATCCGGTGGATAGCGTTATCTGTCTTTCAAACAACTGGGGCCAGATTTTTGAATCACTAATTTTCATTATATTGTATACCTTTTGTTTCTTGTAAATAGTATACTTATACACCCAGCTCTGATCTATATTACTAATCTACAGGTGGTCTTATGGAATTGTCTTGTATGAGATATTCACTATCGGTAAGCAACATTTGTTGAGTAACGACATCAATACAAAATAACAAAAGTCAAAGCAGAATAGAACCAAAATGTCAAACGACTGACTAGCAGATCACAGCACACTTACATTGAGGGATAGTGTGATCTAATACGAGATAGTATTTTTGTTTAAACCTTATAACTAAGTTAAAACACACCTGTTTTCCTTAACAGGAGGAATTCCATACCCAGGATGGTCAGAAGGCAGAGTGGTTCAAGCAGTCCTGGATGGATATCAAATGCCAAAGCCTGACCACATTGACGACCAGTTGTAAGTATATTTACCATTATTTACGTTTTTACCTTGAGTTATTTTAATTGTAAGCGTGTTGCGAATGTTAAATTCACCAATGAGAACTTTTCTAATATTATTGTGATATCTGGGAATCTGATTGGTTCTGTTTGCGCTGACTATTTGCCGATATACCGCGATCTACACACATTACCCTTGATAGAGTTTATCTATTCAGTTTTTGGCTTCGGCCCTCTTTACACGACCCCGGGTTGCTTTTTACCCCGGGTTGAATCACCGCGGGGGGTAACCCTTTTGCAGTCAAACGTTTATAAGTTACTTTAAAACAGTAGTCAAGCCAGGTCAGCCCCCCTCGCCGGGTAACCCTTGTCGAAACTTGGGTGGTACTGCTATGGTACTAAGACAATTGGTCTACTAGTCCTTCGTTCCCTTAAACCCAAGTCAACTCTACTATGGCATGCTCCTAATTGGCTATTTTTTCATAGTCTCGTTGTTGCCTACAATGTGAACAATGTTTTTCTCAATTTTGAGGGCATGTTGAAACGCCCTTGACTATTTTCTACGGATATTGTCGCCTCTCATAAATATACTCATGTTTTTGCCAATCTCGTGTGGCAAAAATGACTCACAGTTAATGTTCTTTAGTTTTTTTTTTTTGTTTTAAATACCTCCTGAAAATCAATTTATTAAGACATGTATTAAAACCATAGTTGTAATGGTTATACATTTCAACATGTCTATTTTTAGGTATGATGTAATGACAAGGTGCTGGAACTTAAACCCTGACTTTCGTCCTCCTTTTGAAAACCTGCGAAAAAGAATGGATAGATACCTTCGTGAGGAGGTTTGTAGTAGTCAGACGATTTTAAATAATCAAGGTTAACAGAATTCTCTGAACATGGTTCTGAGGACATGGCGATAACAAATATTGCAGCATGCTGATTGGCTGAGAGCACGTCAATTAATTCCAAACAGTGCAGAAAGTTGAAACTGAGTGCAAAAAGTTGAAATTGCGTGCAAAAAGTTGAACATGAATTGCAGATATGCTATTAACAAGTAATCAAATGATCTTTCTCGTGCAATTTGAAATAAATACTAAAAGTAGTCGTTTTTCAAAGACTACAAATATTACGCGAATTTCACTGGCCCGTGCTTACTTATTCCAGATTACACTCGAAATCATTTTATAACCTATACAATTATTCTCTAACTAAAACAGGTTTCGAAAATGAAAAAAATAAGTTTTCGATTGACCGTCTCTCTGTCTCTTTATTATCTTTGAAGGGTAGGAATTTACTAGCTCAAACAAGCAAGATTCTTTTCCTACATTTTCAATCACTATGTCCCCACCTGGTTATTTTGGGTCATTTATTAATATTTTAAACCTTTGGTAATACTTATTTCTTCTTATTATTCTTTTCAGACATACACGGAACTGCTCAACATGGGGAAATATGACAGCGTGCAATACTCCAAGGTTGAAGATCTTGGAGCTCAAGATGAACAAGCAAGTGAGCAAGTCAAGACGAGCACCACTGGAAAGAAATTGGGAAAATGGTCAAGTGTTCGTTAAATAAGAGTAAACATATGACTTACTGGTGGCTGTTACAGCTTTTATGCCCAGCAATGGTTAGTTTAGTGTGCCTTTTGTTCAGGACGTCATCGAGTAAGATATAATTATTTAATTTATAACCTATTTGTGAAAGATTAATTATAATTTTGGCATTTTTCTTTTAGGCAATAAAAAATGCTTCCCAGAAATGTTATTGGATAGTAGTCAAACAAATCTAAAGCAGACCTTGTGAAATCGTTCTTTGTTTTGTAGCTACATAATAATCGTTTAAAACCTTTCTGCTTTTTATGTTTTTGGTCATCATTGAGTTGAACAAAATTATTGTGTACACCGCGAATGAGCCGAAATTTGCGTCGTTCTTTGTTTGTTTGAAAATGAAGCTACTCTAGGTAGGGAATAATATCAAAAATCATGTAACTTTCCCTTAAAAGATTACATGAACAAAACGAAGTAACTACTTAATCGTCGTTAACAGCTTTGTGAAAGTAAACAAGCTCTATTACTTTTGGAACAATGTTAAGCTTACAAAAGATATCGGTTATAGTAACTTTGTTATTTAATGAATTTAGATCAGTTCATTACATTGATCAATTTAGAACAGTATGAGATAGATTGTTCTAAAAGGACTGACTATTTATTTTAGACTCTGTGTCGATGTATGCACGGAAAAATTTGACCGCAACATTTACCTATCTATCTAAGTACTGTAAACGTCATAACATGAAAAGGTTTCAAGTTAGGTAACATAAAACGCTCTGTTTGGTATTATTTTACCACTGTCATCCGTGGACTTATTTGTTCATGTCTTTCTCTTTATTATAACGCCAGATTGCTTGTCTACGGTATAATTGATTTAAGTGCGATCACGTTGCTGGTATTAACTGCAGTTTTCTTTAGTAAATACGAGTTAAATTTCATTAACTGATCAAGTCAGAGCAAGGAAAATATTTCTTAAATAGTTGGTAGAGTTTCATGAAGACTCTGGGATACATTAAGGCCCGGCTAAACGACCGCAACATGTCAACGGAACATATCGCAGTATTGTTGGGCGCTGCATGCTGTGCGCGTTTGGCCACCCTGTTGCGACGTGTTGCGACATGTTGGGTGTTGATAAGTGAAATGGTGACTTGGATAAAGTGAAATAAATGTAGAAGCGTTCTCAAATTCAATTACTCAGTTAATAAATTTTCTGAGTTCCTCAACGGGAGTCGAACCCATGACCTTCCAGAATACCGGTATTCTGGAAGGACATGGGTTGCGGATTCGTAATGAGGAATCTGTAAACTCTGCGAGTTTCTTGTTGTGAGTTTGATGATGCAAGCTCTTTGGGTATATTTAGAAAATAAGGCGTCCCTCCCGCACCCAGTTAGACATTTAAAAGTCATCGCCAGCCGGTAGTGTAAATGCAGAGTAAATAGAGGAACAGAGCTCCGAAGCTGAGGAAATTTGGTACTCAAATTATAAATGTTAATAAAATTATGCCAAAACAAAAAAAAAACAATTATATATATGGCAGACGTTTCGGGCCTAACCCTTCTTCAGTGCTACGTTTTGAATGGGACACGCCATCGGAGAAATGAACAATTACAGGCTCAACTCTAAAGCCTGGTTCTCATTACCGACGCAATAACGAGCGCAAGCACAAGCGTGAGCACAACAATTAAGAATTGCTTCATGTTTAGCGTGCGTATATCGAGTTATGGATGCACGCGGGATTTGGAAAGCTCGAAAAAAAGCGTAAGAGTCGCACGAGGCGACAGCCGAGTGCAACTCTAGCTTCTTGAGTGCTCTCCAAACTTCCCAAGAGCATCCATAACTCAATATACGAACAGCTAAAAGCATGAACTAATTTTTTTATAACATTACGACAACAACTTGGGCGCTAAAACATGTTTTATTTGTGATTGACTGCAAAGCTCTAACCATCTACGGCGAAGAAAAACAAGGGTCATTAGGATCCTAACACGCCACAATCAGCTGAGCAATGGTTAAGCGAAAACGCTTAATTTGGTTTCTAAAATCGTCAATGAAAAATTCGCTTCTTCGAATTAATTATAATGAAAATGTAGGCAAACAAAATCAAACATACTCGACGAAAATGTAGACAAACAAGGTCAAAATACTCACGTTTGAGGTCATTCCCTGAAAAAGAATGTACAATAGATTTTCGTTTAAATTTTGCTTGTTGGCTGCTTACATCAAGAGAACTTAAATTTTGAAATAAAAAAGGCGGGTCCCCATATTCGTTTAGGAGCAGGAGGACCCTCAGTAAACCCCATAATTCCTTAAATTATCTGCTTTTAGAAACGTTTACATTTAAACCACACACTTTACGCTTTGTGAGAGCAGAAAAATAGGGAGAAGGTTAAGCGAGAAATACAACAATGGATGTACTGCATCAATGCTAAGGAGCAATTTGATGTACGTTTCATGATAAAGGCACCTATATTTAGTCGACAGAGATTCAATATGTTCCAAGCACGCAGTGTTCTTGAGGGCACATCTTATCGTTTACAAGTGCTTGCTATGCTTTCATTTTCAGTGATAATTTGTTACTCTGCAATAGAAATTGGTCTATATTCACTGTATAGAAAGAAGGTGATCGCTGCAATCAAACTAAGTAAAAAAATGGTTAGGTCCCCGTACTCGTTTCCGAGAAAAAACGATCATTGGTCTCTCGCAACCCAAGCCGTTTAGAGAAAGCCACCATTTTGATTGTGCACGCGCTTACGAGCGCGCGCTAATGACGCGAAAATCGTGCACAGTAGGGATGCGCAATGCAACTCTGTGGAATAACCTTAAGTAAACATCTTAGCTTGGCAAAAGTCAAAGGCTCGAAGTAGGGTTTGGATTGTTCAAAATAATCTTCACATTGCCGAAACTTAAAGAAAAAGAACTTGCACTAAACTCGACGGAAATTTTGCAGCTAAATTGAAACTGCACACGTCATCTTATATACGCACGGCCGTGCGTATATAGAGATTTTGTTCACGATGGCTCAATAGGAATTAGATAGCGCTAGCGCGCGCGCTATGTTATAATTCTTATCAGAAGCATATCAATATGCTTCTTTTCTTATTTAGCCATGAAAACGACCTTAACGCAGGCATAGGCACAAGCGCGAGCGCAAGCACAGGTACATGGATAAAAATTTTTCCTTTTTCTTGTGCTTATGCTTATGCTTGCGTTTGCGTTCCAACAAGTGAAAACGAAATTCCACTCAGGCATAACACAAGCACAAGGACATTTGCCACACTTGTTATGTTTGGCCAATGAAAACACTGGATCCAGATTACCTCGCGCCTAAACACCTCGGAATGTTCGGATGATTTTGATTGTGCTTGTGTTTGCGTCAAATTTTGTTTTCACTTTGTTGCTTGCGTTTGTGCTTGCGCCTGTGCTTGCGTCGCTAGCGAAAACCAGATTTAAGGACGTTCGCGCTAATTGTTTCTGCGCATCCTTACTGCGCACGAAATTCACACGCCACGTCATGCATCGAGCGCACGCGCTAAGCAGTAAAGTGAACAATAATAGGACAAATGACCACTGCAACAACTTTGAGTGGATTTAACGATCTTGGACGTTCGGTGACCCCTATTTTTCTTTATACGTTTTGCGAAAAAATGAAGAAAATCTATCGAGTAAAAGTTTGAATTTATTGCAAAACGCACCATCGAATTCCTTTCATTTGACCTCTTCGTTTAGCTGTGCGTCAGTTTCAAAAGCCTCTTGAAGGGTTAAGGTTTGTGAAAATGATAGCAATATTTGGAATCATTAACGCCACAGCTTTACTTATACAAAATATTATTAGGATAGTTTGCCTCTATTGACTTATCTTTGATGTTTTAACCTAAAAGTCCTGGAGACCATGCTGAATTACGCGCGAACGTCCTTAACAGATAGGTAAAAGCGTGCGCGTGTCAAGCTGTTAAAAAAATTAAAATTGCACCTTTAGTACGTGCGGCTTAAGCTTGCCAAGGTGAAAAATTAGCGCAATTCGTCAAGGCGTCTGGCGTTGTTTGTACTCCTGCCCTGTTTCTCCAATGTAATCAATTTCGACGAAAGAGAAAAACTGGAAATTCGTCATAATAATAGTAATTTTAAGAAATGTAAGATACACCTGAAAGAATTTTCTCTCTCTAAATTAGAATGGTTTGGTTCTTGAAGGTAAAGTACACTGGCATAAAATTGATCTTCCCGGTGCAATGTTGACAATCGTTTCTTTTGAAATAACCAACAAAAATATCAGGGATAGCAACATATCAAGGAACTGAATTATTTCATCAATATCCAGTTTACTCAAAATAAAATCGGTGTTGTGAGAAATATTTCTCGCTATTTTTCAACGAAAAATATCTCTTTGCTTCGGCTTTCTGCGACTTCAATCCAAAATTCACTGAAATATTAACTTAAAATCAGGAGCCCATTACTAGGAGCCTGCAACTCCCATGCTAAGCCTATGTCACGACATTTTTATGAACCAGTCTAGTTTTAGGCTTCTTTTTCCTTTTACCTTAAATAGCTCGTAAAGATGAACTTGTGTACAGTAAAAGTTCTCTGACATGTGCAAATGGCAAAAAATAAAAGATTTCATTTCAGTGCCGTGATATCATTTTCAGGTTTAGAACCAATCACGTGCAGCAAAGAGGAGAGAAGGCAAGAATGGCGAAACATTCTAACACGAAGACCACAAAATATCGAAGCCATCCAAAATTTTCTAATTGACATTGCTTATAACGGAACCCCGGGCCCATAAGCACGGTCACCAATTGCAACGGGCCATGAAAATTTGGCCGCATTAACGGGGTAGGGTCAAATTTCATGATCGGTCTGAATTGAGCGAAATCTTAACAGAGATATAGCAATTGCACTTCTAGACAGCTGTTCTTTTATGGGCATCCAGAATGCAGATACACTTTGTAAAAAATTAAACTTCACTCACTACATAAAATATTAACGAAGGAAAGATGAACATGACTGGGTCCAATGGCCGTATAAATGGGGTAAAATTAAACAGGATTATCCAGGTTGGGATTTCAGAATGTGGCCGTTGGCCGTGTTAACGGGGTGGCCGCATTAACAGGTTTTTCTTAGAAGGAAATGTTTGGGCGTTTCCCTGGGACAGAGAAGTAGCGGTAACAACAAGGTGACCGTAAGGCGGGTGTAAACAACACTCCAGTACAGTCTGAATTCGTCTTTAATCCTAACGATTCAAACAATTCACCTGAAACATGTAAAACACAAAATAAAGATACATAATTAATAAATACGAACTTAGATACATAATTAATAAATACGAACTTAAACTTAAATAAACTGAAAATACCACAATTGAATGCGAAAAAAACAGCAAAACATAGCAAGGAAGACGTGATTAGAAGCAAGATCTGTAAGGCAGGCCGGAATAACAATGACTGAATACAAATTAAAAAAAACTACAACGCTATATACGGAATTTTGAGCAAAAAGAATAGACACGATGAGGTTACGCAATTAACAATAAGCGATTACATAACACGACGCGAAGAAACTAATCTACATTTAATCTGCACGGAAAAGGTACGCAAAGAAAGAAAGAAAGCGCCAAGAAATATTTTGACTAAAATACAAACAAAGACAAAGCAAAAAAAGGCGATGAAATAAAAAAAAATAACTCTCGTGGGTACAGCAAGGTTCCAGGGTATAAAACAATCTGTTCAGAAAGATTTCACATAGAGGCTTATCAGGTTACGCAGAAATAGATACATATACAGCGTGGAAAACAATAAGTCAGTTTTTTTTTTTCGTATTTTCTATCTTTAAACTGCCTCTTTAACAATCATCAGTTTGTTTCCAACATTAACCGAAATCGTTGTTGAAGCAACGTTCTGCTGTTGAACTGCTTGTCATTGGGAATAATGAATGTTCTGTGTTCTTATTATTGTTTTCTAGGTTGAACATGGACCATCTCAGTTTTATCTTCTCCTTGCTGTTAATCGTCTCGGTTACTACTACTACCTTTGGATCTGTGATCAAGGCAAAGAATCCAGATGGAGAGGTAAAAAAAGAATTGACTTCTGCTATTGCCTTTGATAAAATCTCTGTTTGCAACCCTAAATGGTTTGCAACCCTAAATTGTCGACCATAGCATTCATGGTCCGTTTTACGCCATGAATGAAATTCGAATTTTTGCACGAGCATTGAAACTGTAAATTAACATAAAGCACAGGAAAATTGACTTTAACAAATCGCAAAGTGCAATTTTAGAATCTGACATGCTGAGACCTTCATAAACACTTTTACAAGAAAGTCAAATTGTAACGGCCACAATTGATTTATTTCATTTTTTTTTTTTTTTTTAAATATAACTTCACAATATTTGGCCCCTGAATGTAGTAAGTGATCGAATGTTGAAAGCTTGTGAGATTTAGCTTCTTGTTGAGTTTAATCACTACCAGTTTAAAGATAGCATACATGTTCTAGTTATCCAACGCTTTCGATTGAATATCATAGAATATCCCACGAGTCCCTTGTATTTTATCACTTTGCACGCGAGCGTTTAGGTGCATGGTAGGAACGTTGATGTAATGCTGTCGAATATGCAACGCCTCTGCTGTATTGTGATTGGCTGTATTTTCTATGGCATGGTATAAATGTATTTGAAGGTGAACCTATGGCATCCAAATTTCCAGAACGATATTCGGCCATGGTATTGATGCT